AGTTGGGATTATTACTATCAATTTTTCCTACTATTAATTAATTGAAGTTATAAATAAAACTTATTCTAAAAGTATGTACTAGTGTGAGTTTGAGATGATAATTATTACAATAAATTTTATAAGTAGATGATGATAAATATGGTATAATTATGACCAAGGAATAGTGTTGAAACCACTAAATATCAAAGTTAGTGTTTAATTACAGAAATTACATAATTTTATTGTAATTTTATTGATACTTCATTGTCGGGATTAAGCGGGATTTCCGAACGGGAAACCGACTTAATCGGGATTTTAATGTCGGGATCCCGACTTAATCGGGACGGGATACGAGATCCTCTTGTAGTTTGAATCGGGATTGGGACGGGATCGGGAATTTGGCATTCGGGATCGGGATCATCCCGATCCCACCCCTAGTTTGTAGTATAAAAATATATTGAAATCTAGTCCAAAACCAGAAGTAGTGGTACTGTGCTATGATGATTTAGTTCTAATTCATATTATACTTTTCTTTAAAAATGGAATGTTATTATTTAGAATTGTTTCAATGGATTGAAAACTACTAGACCTATTACTATACATAAATGTGAATTGTTTAAAACTTACTTGAATAACTTGTTTCCGCTAAAATTTGTTTGCACGCACGAGCAAGACAAAATATATTAGTCTCACACCCGAATGATTTGAACAAAATAATAATTGAAAAATGTATGATGTCGAATATATAATAATATAATGCTATATTTTGTAAAGTTTATCTTTACATGATAATAATTTACATGATTTGGTTGAATGTATATTGTATATACCAATATCTGTATCCAAAGTTTTCTGTTGGGAATAACAGGATCGTGCTAATATGAGAGAAAAATACTTCTATTACTTTCAAGAATAGAAATAAGAGACATACAAGCTCTAACTAAAAACTCTCAAAAACACCTCACATATCTCTCAAGGATATTCACAACACTCTTGGTTGTGCTATGATGATCTATTCTAATTTACTTGATGATAGAAAGACTCTCCAAGCTCTCTATTTATAGTACGAAAACAAGGTAGTATGAAGGTGGGAGGAAGGTGGGATTAAACATGAGGAAACTTCAATGGTGGTTGAGGAAGCTCTCTTTGTCATTCTTGCACATGGAGGAAGCTTCATGGTTGTTGCTTGTACATGGAGGAAGCTTCATGGTTGTTGCAATTGGATTCTTTAATTTGCTTGTACTTGGATATGTCCTGAAAATTGAATTCTTCAATTCTCCCTTCCAGGCATATTCAAAACAAGCATCCCGACTATGTTTCTGCACAGCTCTAGCTTATCTCGTGTCACCACCTTTGTCAGCATGTCTGATGGATTCTCCTTTGTATTGATCTTCACTAGTCTCAATAGTTGTTGATCAATCATCTCCTGTATCCAATGATATCGAATATCAATATGCTTTGTACGAGAATGGTACATGGAGTTCTTGCTCAAGTCCAGAGCACTCTGACTATCACAATGTACCATGTATTCTTTCTGCTGGATCTCAAGTTCTTGGAGAAAGCGCTTGAGCCACAACATTTCCTTACCTGCTTCAGCGGCAGCAATGTATTCTGCTTCTGTTGTAGATAAAGCGACACACTTCTGCAATCTTGATTGCCAAGAAACAGCTCCCTACAAAAGTGTAGATATATCTGTAGTAGACTTTCTACTATCAATATCTCCGGCCATATCAGCATCTGTGTAGCCTTCCAAGACTGAATCAGCTCCTCCGTAACAAAGACATAACTTCGTGGTACCTTTCAAGTACCTGAGAATCCATTTGACTGCCTCTCAATGCTCCTTCCCAGGGTTAGAGAGAAAATGACTCACTGTACCCACTGCTTGTGCAATGTCTGGCCTTGTGCATACCATGGCGAACATCAAACTCCCAACTGCTGAAGAATATGGAACTGCTGACATCTCCCCGATCTCTTCCTTGGATGTAGGGCATGTTCTTTTGCTCAACTTGAAGTGATTCGCAAGTAAAACACTAACTGGTTTAGCATCATTCATGTTGAATCTCTCAAGTACACGTTCAATGTACATCTCTTGAGAAAGCCATAACTTGCGATTCTTCCTGTCTCGAGTGATCTGCATCCAAAGAATCTGTTGAGCCGGTCCTAAGTCTTTCATATCAAAAGACTTAGAGAGTTCTTTCTTTAGCTGGTTTATCATCACTGCATCTTTCCCAACGATCAACATGTCGTCTACATATAGTAGAAGAGCAATGAAAGTACCGTCTGGAAGTTTCTTGATGTATACACACTCATCTGCAGTAGTCTTCTTGTAGCCTTGACTCTTCATGCATGAGTCAAACTTCTTATTCCACTGCCTTGGTGCCTGCTTCAAGCCATACAAACTTTTAGATAACTTACACACAAAGTTATCATTTGAGTTCTCAAAACCTTCCGGCTGCTGCATATAGATTTCTTCTTTCAAATCTTTGTGAAGAAATGCTATCTTCACATCCATCTGTTCAAGCTCCAAGTTCATACTTGCTGCCAAGCCAAGTATAACTCGGATTGAGGTCATCTTAACAACTAGTGCAAAGATCTCATCAAAGTCAATTCCCTTCTTCTGTTGGAATCCTTTGACAACCAACCGAGCTTTGTGTTTCACCACTTGTCCGCTTGCATCCTTCTTCAGCTTGAACACCCATTTGTTCCTCAGTGCCTTCTTCCCTTTAGGAAGTTCTATGATCTCATAAGTTTGATTTTTCAGCAGAGATTCTAACTCATCCTGCATTGCTATTAGCCATTTTTCTTTATCCTTATGAGACACAGCTTCTTGAAAACTCTCTGGTTCTCCATCTTCAGTTAACAAAAGATATTCAGATGATGTGTACCTTGTCGATGATATATGCCCTCGTTCAGATCTACGAACAGTAGGAACCATCTGAGAAGAGCTACCATCTTCTTCTTCTTCTTCTTCTTCTTCTTCTTAGTTATCTTCATGCACTTTGTCCTCTTCTGGTGCTTCATTTGAAACTCTAGCACCCTCATTTGACTACCAAGACATTGTGGGGTTTTCAATGTCTTCTATTGTCAAATCTTCGTGGAACACAACGTCCCTACTTCTGAAGACCTTATTCTCCTTAGGATCCCATAACCTGTACCAAACTCTTCATTCCATAGCCAACGAAAATGCATGGGATAGTTCTTGCATCGAGCTTCTGTCTGAGCTCTTTGGATACATGTGCATATGATGAACAACCAAATACTCTAAGATGTGAGTATGCTCTAAGATGTGAGTATGTAGGATCCTTAACTGTCCATAGCCTCTCTGGAACTTCAAAGTTCAGTGGTACTGAAGGTGATCGGTTGATAAGATAGCATGCGGTGTTGACTGCTTCTCCCCAGAATGACTTCGGAAGTTTTTCCATATTTAGCATGCTCCGGACACGCTCCATGATAGTCCAGTTCATTCTTTCAACAACGCCGTTGTGCTGAGGGGTGCATGGTACTGACTTCTCATGTCGAATGCCATATTCTCTGCAATATGCATCGAACGCCTTGGATGTATATTCACCTCCATTATCAGATCTGGGAGATTTCAACTTCTTTCCTGTTTCACATTCCACCAAGACGTGAAATGTCTTGAAACTCTCGAAGACCTGATCCTTCGTCGTCAGAAAATACACCCACACTTTCTGAGAAGCATCACCGATAAAAGTCAGAAAATATCTGCTTCCACCGATTGATTCCACCTCGAAAGGACCACAGACATCGGAGTGTACCAAACTTAACAACTCCAATCTTTTAGTTGAAGTAGAACTAAATGATACTCTATGTTGCTTACAAAACAGACAATGACTGCAAGGACCCAATGCAGCGTTCTTATCGATGTTGATAAGGTTCTTCTTCATCAAGGTAGTCAACCATTTATCATCGATGTGGCCGAGCCTTAGGTGCCACAGATCCTGAGAAGTCTCCTTTGCAATGTTGAGGCTATCCGTACAAATCCTCAAATGGGTTTTATACAATGTGCCACAAACATGTCCTCGAGCGATTGTCAAAACACCCTTTGACATTTTCCAGGTGCCCCTGTTAAAGTGGTTTTCATACCCCTGTTCGTCAAGACATATCACATATAGGAGATTGAGTCGAAGGTATGGAACATGTCTGACATCCTTCAAAGTGATTGTGCTGCCAGTACTCATCTTTATTTGTACATCACCAATTCCAGCTATTTCAGAGGAACTGGAATTGCCCATCTTCACTGCTCCAAAGTCTCCAGCTTTGTAAGTTGTGAAGTAGTTCTGTGGGGAGTAAGATGGTAGGATGCTGCAGTATCTACCACCCATTCAGTGTCCTCTCTTGAGACGTGAAGGCATGTTTCATCATTGGTAGTACAATTTGCCACATCACCTGAGATTGTGATGAGCGCTTCACCACCCTTGTTCTTCGCTTGAGAATTGCTCTTGCCTCGCTCTTCTAGCAATTTGTAGCAATTCTTCTTCATGTGTTCCTCTATACCGCAATGGTGGCAGGTATAAGGCTAACCGTAATCCGCATCCGTCAATTAATCAAATTCCCAACCATTTTATACGTATTCACTCAATCAATTCAGATTTTACTGCAAACCATCAACCGTCAATATATTCATCTAGCAAAGTTTATTTAATTAAGGTCTTATTTTTATTATTATATATCAATTTTTTTCAATCTTTTTTTTAGGTTGATTAAGATTAGAAAAAGTCAAACATTCTGATGTAAAAATAAATAAATTTGGAATTTATTTTTTTTCTTTTAATTTTAGACCTGTTTTTTAAAAGGGGGGTGTAAAAAGAATATTTTAATCATGAGATCTAAATTTTGGCACTTGAATATATTTAAGAAAATATTTGAGTCTAAAAATCTCTAACAGTTAAACTTTTATATTTTTTTTCTAATTTTATATATGTGATATTGGTGTCATATGTAAGATTAAAAAAATTAACAATTTTGATATATATTTTTTTATAAATTTAAGTGCAAATAAAAATGTTATAAATCTTTTAATAAAAAGGAGATTTTCTTTTTCTTGGAGCTCACATCATACTGTTACTCTTTTTGTGCTCTTTTTTTCTTCCGGCTCTTTGTTCCAGCAAGGCAAAGGAGTGAAAATAGGGTGCCAAATTCCACCCACTCGGCAGCCGTATACCCACTTTAGTCTCTCCCAATACATAGGGTTGGAGAGTTTTTTGGGGTGAAAACATCTAATTTAGTTTTTCACCCATAGGATTGCAGGCAGCCTAAGAAGGTTTCCGGCCATTCGATGATCTCCCCCGACTTTTGCCTCTGCTTTGCCATTTCTCTCTACTGTTTCTTTGTTGTTTTCCTTGTGATCTTCCTCTATTCTCCATCACAATGGCATGAGTCTCATCTGTGCTCATGTCTTTCCTTGCCTCCTCATTGAACAGTGCATCCTTGACCACAGACATGATAAGTTTGCCATTTGGGGCTGAGTTGCTGAGAGTAACAACTAGTGTCTCCCAACTATCAGGAAGGGAACTAAGAAGTAGTAGAGATTGCATTTCATCTCCAAGTGACATTTCTACGCAAGATAGTTGATTTACTAGACTCTGAAATTGACTAGTATGTTCGGCAACGGAACTTCCACTTTTGAGCTTCATATTGACAAGGCGCCTCATTAGTAGGGCCTTGTTCCTAGCAGTCTTGGCCTGGTACAAATCTTCTAACTTTTTCCAAAGGGCATAAGCGTCGGTCTCTCGTGCAACATGGTGGAAGACACTATGGTCAATCCATTGTCGGATTTGACCAATAGTTTTTCTATTAATTTTCTTCCACTGCGTTGACTTGGCCGGGTCAGGATTAATACCTTTCATCTCTATTAGATAAAAAAGGTCTTTACAGCTAAGGAAATCTTCCATCCGAGGTTTTCATAGCGTGTAGTTGGTAGCCGTGAGCATAATCATATCTCCAGAAGATGAGGTTGACTTGTCAAAGGTCATTTTCACCTTCTAAATAATTTTGATTTTCTGTTTGAGAAAAATTGGAGCAGAATTTCGAAAAACGGGCAGCACTGTTGCGTCTGGAATGACCGAAAATGGTGGGTAGGCACTTTCGGGGTCAAAATACAATTTTCGAAAAATTATAGGTGGAAATTATAATTTTCCAAAAATTGAGGGACCAAACTCCAAATTTTCAAAATTATAAACTGACCGGTGACGCGGCAGATAACGTGGCAGTGATGTGGCACTGACTGTGCATTGACGTGGCAGCTGCCTGGGCACTGGTGAAAGATGGCAGTGGACTGATGACGTGGCGGCTGACTTTGCTGGGACTGCACTCGTGGCGCTGACGTGGCACTGACGCAGCTTTGGCTCACTGATGACGTCATCGATGACGTCAGCCGTCTTCGGACTACACTGCGCGTACTGCGCGTGATGACGCATGCAGTTTTTCGCCGGCGTTTGGCGGCGCGTATGGCAGCTTTCGGTGGCCAAAAATTCCCCAAAAATACCTGTTTTCTCGTCTCGACGAGACGAATCCAACGGTATATTCAGTTTGCAATTCCGAGCAATACTGAAAAACTCGATTTTTCGGACAAAATAATTTTGTCTGGAAAAAATCTGGGAAAACTATCAAAGGCTCAACCAGGCTCTGATACCACTTGTTGGGAATAACAGGATCGTGCTAATATGAGAGAAAAACACTTCTATTACTTTCAAGAATAGAAATAAGAGACATACAAGCTCTAACTAAAAACTCTCAAAAACACGTCACATATCTCTCAAGGATATTCACAACACTCTTGGTTGTGCTATGATGATCTATTCTAATTTACTTGATGATAGAAAGACTCTCCAAGCTCTCTATTTATAGTACCAAAACAAGATAGTATGAAGGTGGGAGGAAGGTGGGATTAAACATGAGGAAACTTCAATGGTGGTTGAGGAAGCTCCCTTTGTAATTCTTGCATATGGAGGAAGCTTCATGGTTGTTGCTTGCACATGGAGGAAACTTTATGGTTGTTGGAATTGAATTCTTCATTTTCAACTCTTGTATATATCAATAAAATAGTTACCGATAAAGTTCAAAACTTCTAGCTCTCTATACTACGAAGAATGCGTGATATACGTATAACTAAAATAAAGACATAACTAATTTAGAGCCCGTTTGGTAGCACCAAAATCGGCTGTTTTGGCTGATTCTGCTGAAATTTATGATATTCTGGATGGAGTGGCTGTTTTGGCTGATTCTGCTGATTTAAGAAAAAAATATTTTAAAAATATATTTTATTAATAAATTAAAGAAAAAATTATATGTAAAAATAGCTAAAATGGTCATCTACAGTAACTTCAGCCAATACAGCCAGAAAAGTAACTCCAACCTTACTTTTTTGGCTTATTACACAATTCAGCGCGTGAAAGTAAAAGTTACGTGTTTGGTGAAAAAGCTGGCTGATAAGCCTGATAAGCCGAAAACAGAGTTCTCCAAACGGGCTCTTAGTGTCTGGCTTATTTTGAAAAAATTATTTTGTTCTAGTAATTATTAAGGTTTCGATGTTAACATTAGCGCACATAACATATACACATCCCATAAAGTAACAATGTTTGTAAACAAACATAATATATTCAGTTCAAAATGATAGTTTCATCCGCAATACTAAAGTAACAATGTTTGTAAATAAACATCATATATTCAATTCAAAATGATAGTTTCATCCGCAATATTGGGAGAATGGGAGACCATTTGGTAACACTGTTTTTTGACTTATCAAGCTTATCAGTCAACTTTTTTTACCAAACACGTAACTTTTGTTTCTCGCGCTGAATTGTGTCATCATAAGAAAACGTAAGGTTGGGATTACTTTTCTGACTGTATTGGCTGAAGTTATTGTAGATGACCATTTTAACTATTTTTACATATAACTTTTTCTTTTTTTTATTAATAAAATATATTTTAAGAATATTTTTTTCTTAAATCAGCAGAATCAGCCAATGCAACCACTTCAGCCAGAACTTCAAAAATTTCAGCAGAATCAGTCGATTTTCTTGTCAGCAAACGGGCTCTGGGTGTGTTTGTTTTTCAGCGGATGCACTGAACGTTGGTTTTTTTTCAACAACAAACGCTAGAAAATGCATCGTTTAGGCTAGAAAACTCTGAAATATATACAATTATACAAACATGTCCGTTGTCAAATCACATGTACGTATTTTTCTTTATTTTAGTCTTTTTATTCAAATTTTCCTCAACATTTTATTCTAAGGATATTTTTATTCAAAGTCTGGTCAGGTTTGAAATAGTTTGGTCTGGTCTCTATCAGTGGCGGATCCAGAAAAAATGTTTATTGGGGGCAGAGGGATTAAAGATATACGCTTATGTGTTATTTTATGTGTCTTGTTTTGATTTGACATAATTCTAAATAAAATGATCAAAAGTAAAAGTTGAAGTAGTGTCTGGGGTATAATAAAATGAAAATATGTGGATCTCATATGTCTTTCCAGAAAAAATATGACACTTATTTTGGGATAACATAAAATGGAAAGTAAGATGTGTATAATGGGACGAAGGGAGTACTATGTAGAAGTGGTGGAATACAAGAATAAAAACTAGTATAGTATAATTGTGTCGTTAGGATGTTTTTACTTGGACTGAAATTTGATGGTCTAGTCTGGTCTGATTTGTTTAAGTTTGATCTGGTCTGGTTTGGTAAATGTCTAATCTATGTGTATTTTATAAACCTATAAAAGTCCGACCTGATCTGATCTGGGATTGAAAACAGTTAGAGTAAAAACATCCTTACAATCGCAAAATTTTGAACAAAATATATCAAAATTGTTTGCATTGAGTTTTCATCTTTTAGAAGAGATCCATTGTAATTTTAACATTATATGTAACTATCTACAGTAACATATTATTTACAATCAAAATTTTAAAGGGAAAAGGGAAAAATAATTAAAATACTCCAATCTTTAAAGAGGTGCGAATTAAACACCCCAAACTTGTACGGAGTATATGTAAATTCAATATCCTGAACTTTATATAAAGAGTTATGTTAGCACCATGAGCATATAATTTTCACCATAAATTATATGATGGTAAATTTAAATTAATTATGATCATGGTGCTAAAATACTTTTTTATGTAAAGTTTGAGATATTTAAATTACACATGCAAGTTTTGAGTATTTACCTATCACCCATTCAGAGTTTGGAGTATTTGAATTAGTCTTCCCTTTATTAAATGACAATTTCTAATAGATGTAAAAAAACATACTCTAATAGATGAATAACTATTTTAGTAAGTCATAAATTAAATTAAATTTATGGATGTACTCCAATAACCATAAAATAAAGTAATACCGAGTAACATAATAAGTTTAGTAACACTATCTTTACGGAGTATTCATATTTAATTACTTATATAAAAATTAACATATTAAAAAAAAAGTAATGTACGACTTTAGAGTTAAACATCTAAAGTCGATGTCTTCTTTCCTATTAAGCCGTAAATCACAAACTTGAATTTAGTCAATCGTCAAGTATGTCTTCCCGTTTGGCTTATTAGTTACTCCGTATTACGAAACGTGAATTTAAGATTTAGAAGTACAACTTTAGGATGATGGACGGACTGCTGAGTTATTGGGGGCAACTGGTTTTCTCTATTGGGGGCAATTACTTACATTTTAATATTTATTAATAAATTACAAGGGATTAGTAAGGTTTTATTGGGGGCAGCTGCCCCCACAAAAGTGTTAGTAGATCCGCCCCTGGTCTCTATGTATATCATAACTATAGAAGTCTAATCTGATCTGATCTGGTCTGGTCATGAACTAAAAACGATCCAATTAAAAACATCCTAATACTTGTTAATACATTACAAGAAAAACCAGCTAACAAATTATACACTATCTATCACAATCCATAAATGTAAATTTACCATAACGACTGCAGCGAAAAATCCTGAAAGTCCAGCTACAACATCGAATATTGGACGAATGCGAACCATAAAATCTGAAATGTCCACCCAAGAGCACATTTTGGTGAGAGGTTAATTATAAGTTTCGTATATGTGATACTCTAACGCACCATATAGTATATATATATATATATATGTGTGCGCGCGCGCGTGTCAAGAATGAAAAATGGTCCGACACAACTTTCTTGGTAAAAACGCGTGACATTCTTAAAATTACTTCTACTCCTTCAAAAAGCAGAAGCAAAAGTTGGAGTGTTTGGTTGAAAGTGCATAAATGATTCTGATGCTCTAATTTTCTCTTCAAATCAGTTCTTTTAAAAATTGAGGGGACTAACTTCTAAAAATTGATCCTAATTCTGTTTCTACATAAACAACCGTATAAGAGTGAAATAAAAAAAGATTAGCAGGTTTTAAACAACCGTGCTAGCTACGGAGTATTATAATGCACATAGCCGACTAGCGTATGTACATAAAATTGTATGTGTACAGCTTAGATGAAGAAACCGCTTTTTCTGGTTTTAGAAATAAGATTATACTAGATCAATTAAGATCAGGACAATTCAAAAAAACTTACTCCAAATTCCAAAAGATGTTTAGTAGGCACAATGATTTTTTTAGAAGCTATAATGGTCGTATATGTTAGAAGCTAAGGTATGTAGCTTTTAAGGTATGTTTGAAACAATTAGCTAAAATTGAAATATACTTTGTGAGTTTTTTAGTAACTATTACTAGTACTCCGTAGCTTTTAGTGATTGAAAAGAATTTTTAAAAAAGAATGTTACATAGTTGTTGATAAGAATGTTACAATTTGTTTTGACTAATTAATACTTAAAGTTACAAACTTTTACCAAATGCTATTCAGTATAGTTTCTCGAATTGGACGACCAATAATGATAATATTGATTGTTGATGATGATTTTAAGTTCGTTCCATTAAGATTGCTTCATACGAAGTACTAAAATTGATAAATTTTGTGTGGTTCTAACTCGTTTTTAATTACTTATTCTTACTTTATCAATTCAATATCAATTTCATAATTTTTTTAATAACGACATCACCTCCTCATGTCTCAATTATGAATAAGTGGTACAATTAGAGCATCTTTAATGGGCCTTTCTATTCTAAAAAATGCACCGCCACATAAGTAAAAAATTGAGAGGAAGCAAAAAACGGTCTCCAACAGAAATACAGAACCATCTATTTGCAGCGTGCTGCTGAGCTGGAACGGCAATAAACCCACGCCGTCTATTTTTCTATGGACTTTCAGCAAGACTCCCAGCACTCTGACTCAGCAAACAATTAATTTCGTGGAGAAATTCATAAACATTTGATTGAATTGAAAGTGAATTATTCCCCCACATGCGAATAAAACTCTTTAGAAGAAAAGTTGGATTGTTTTTTGGTGACAACTCCGGTACCCTTCTAAAAAATATGGTACCGTACCTACCATTCATTTGATTGGACCACACCACTTTATCATTTTTAATTTAGATTTAAATAATTCAACTGCTATATTCTCATTGGTCCATGTGGACAAAGGTATGGTACCTTATGGGTACCATAGAATCTACCTTGTTTTTTTAGTGATGTTCCGTATGATTAGTTTTCAACTTGAGGCTTGCGTTGGAGCATAGATGTTATTTTATATGTTTGTGGATCCACCTCAGCTCCACGGTCCGTTTACATGGGTGACATGTCCATTTTTTCTAGGGTGCAATCCATATTCCATTAAAGATAGATGCTCTTATATACTACTACTAATATTAATGGGGCGGATGTCGTCATAGCCAATGATAATAAGAGTTTATTACCAGGAGCAAAACAATAGAAAAGTGCAAAAATAGTCAGGGGTTG